TAGCTTGAAAAAGCAGTAGTAGTACATGAGTACTGAATGTGAGAGCCCCGACCAACGCTCAACACTGTGGCGATCAACCTGACTCAAAAAGCTAAGCTAAAGCCAAAGACTAAGATATTAATAATCGCCCCCATTAGAACTGAACACAACAGATAAACATTTAAACACAAAACATTAAAGAGACATTAGAAAGTCTTACATAAACTATATACATACAACAGAGAAAGTCATAGAGACTTGAACACGCAGAAAAACACAAAACAAATAGAGATCAAAACCTCAGAAACAAGAGGTAAACATGAGACTAAATGAGTCAGTATTCAGGATTAATTAGTATTGATAAACTAACAATAGAACTGACTCAAAAGAAAGAGATACCGTATTATCGGACTAGGGCCTTGCCCATACAATGTGGAGGAAATACCATCCTACCACTGACGATAAGACTAATAAGACGTTAAAGTCAATAGAACTGATCATCGTCAAGTAGAAATACTAAAGTTAAACTCAAAAGAGTATTCAATTAGGGTCACAAATAGGGATACATAAGTATGATTATGAACAAAATCTGAATTGGACATGCACTGTACTCGGATCTAATAATAATAATAGGCAAGTAGCTAAGAGAGAATAGAAACGCGGATAAAGCACTCTGCACTGGCTGGCTATACCATGGACCAGACCGATGGATAGCCTCAGACGCACAGTGCAGAGAGCAATTGCGAACGCATGAGGGCCAATCCCTTGGAGGAAGGGTGGATATAATCTGGCCTTGAATTGATCCGAGGACAGTACATGTCCAAACAGAAAGCATTAGTAGATCTAAAAATAGATTCAAAGCTAACGATAGTGACTTTCGGTTTAAATCTTAACTCAGGAGACAGTTTGGCTTTCTGAGAATTAGCCACGGGCAGAAGCTCACATACAAAGATTTTATTGAAATGACGAGTCAAATATCTCACCAGAGAGGCAAAGGACGACCATACGTCTTTAAACTCATGTACGTGCAAAAAATCATTGATGCCTGATAGAAGCACGGCAGA